TTTAAGCAGTGAATGGTTAAGGATGCAGAAATAACTACCTATGAGCATGATGGAAGCAGGTTTAATTGAAGAATCAGAATAGGATCATTATCTGGAAAGGAAAAATGTACAGGATGACAGAGAAGAGATGGGTTATTGCACCATGTGTTGCTCTTACAACCAACACAAACATGATGGACTGGAAGGCTTCTGACTGTCTGGAGAAAAAGTTCAGATGGATTACAGTGAAACTTCCCGATGGCGGAAGGGTCAAGAACTACAAGACACCCATGAAAAATGAACAGCAAAATAACCAACAGCAACAAAAGTTTCTTTGTGCAGCATGCAATTAGGATCTGGAATACACTGTCTGGGCATTTGGTGAAGGCAAATTCAATGAGGACTTTTTAATTGGAAAAGCATGGAAAAGAATTGGAAGACTCCAGGAAATGGGTGGGGTGTGGGACTAACTGAGTTGATCTTGGGGTGACCAGGCATCGGCTCAGAAGACTAAATTTTCTCCTTAGATGTTGTAACTCTTCTATGATACAGTCTAGACTTTCCTCAATAGCATCTGATTAAGGTGGAAAGGTTAACAATTAAAACTAAAATTGATTATCAATATTTCTAAATCAATATGTTTAATACACATTGAAAAGAAACATTGGTTTATTGACTGACTTTATCAAGAAATGAAACAGGAAACATGTTAAGCGAGTCAATTGAGAATTGTTCTCGACTTTGTTATCCAACACATACCAGGGCCAATTTTCAGGGTCCTCCTTACTAATGTCACCTCCAGTCTGTTTATATGCCACATAACATACCCTTTGAGTTTTATTGAAGGAGTTGGTGACATATTAAATTCTAAACAGGAAAGCAGATGAAGAGCTCCTTGGTCCACTGCTTCTAAAGATTTCATTCATTTGGAAAAATCAGTTCCGTAACTAATGGATAGATGTTTTTTAACACCAAATTAAGGCTGTGTTTTAAAATTTTTCAAGCTCATGGTTTGACCTACAGTCACCCTAATGTTAGAATTGATTTTACTTTCAGAAAACAATTGTGTTATTTTTGTTTCATTTATTTGTTCATGGAATGTGAACATTGCTGAATAGGCCAGCATTTATTGCACATCCCTGATTGCCCTTAAGAAAGTGATGATGAACTGCCTTCATGAACCACTGCAGTCCTTAAGGAGTAGGGCATTCATAATGCTGACAGGAAGGGAGCTTCTGGATTTGATCCAACATAACCCCAAAGGTGTGCTTTGGTGGGGGAGGGTAGGGGAGGGGGTGATGCATCAGCAGGCACCACGTAACCTGCTCCAAAATGGGGCATTGAGAGGGATGGGTGAGGCTAAAAGGTGGCCAAGGGCAAAAAAGAACAACCAAAAACAGTGTGGGTTCTGGAGATCCCAAAGGATTAGGAAATATGGGACCAGGCCTGGAGGGTTGCGGGGGTATTGGGAAGAAGTGGGATGATGCCAATCATGCATGAAGGAAGTCATTTAGCCTGCCCTGCTCATGCCTTCCCCTTTGATTGATCAATGCGGACATGGCGTGGGAGGGGGAGTGCGACATGACCATATTTTACCATCCGCACAAGCATCTATTTTCTTAGCAGGAAAACTAATCGATGGACTTAGCAGCCATCGGATAAAAGTCCATTGGATAAGAGGAGTTTGCAGTTGTCCCTTTGGGGGTGGGAAGGGCAGGAAAGTGGGCGTGAGGAATGTCAATCAGCCATGGTCCTATTGAATGGTGGAACAGATTTGACAGGCCATTTGCTTCTATTCCTTATGGTTCTGCTAAGAGACCCCCATTGACCTTTCATTAGCTAAGGCATTGGCATATTCTGGATTTTGCTGCTGCCCACAGATGGCACGCCTATTTTGTCAAAGTCGAAAGTGAAGCTCAGGCAACCTTTTCACACAGAGGGTGGTGCATATGTGGAATGAATTGTTGAAGGAAGTGGTAGATGCAGATATGGTTACATTTAGAAGACCTTTGGACAATTAAACGAATATGGGCCAGACACAGACTAATGGGACTAGGTATTTGGGAAACCTCATCTGCATGGACAAGTTGGACTGAGAGTCTGTTTCAGTGCTGTATGACTCTACGACTCTATAACTTATCTCCAACATTCAGAAGGAAAATATGAGAGGCAGTCAAGCTGTGTTTAAACATCCAACAAAGTACATCAAACAGAAAATACAGTCAAGATCAACCCCATATGTTCCACAACAACCCCCAGATTTTAGTGACATTGTGGGTAATCAAATCTCATCAAACTTAACATGGGATTTATATTTTTTCTCTGTTGAAGGTTTAGCTTTGGAACTCCCTCAAAAGCTGCTCTGTCACGGACTTCTTAAGCTAGCTTAACCGAGTTGGTACTGTGACTGTGTTTCTCTGAGCTCTCAGCCGCACAAAGCCAATACTGCTTGTGGGCTTCCTTTACCCTTGCTCTCAGCTGCATTGAACTATTAGTAGCCACATGGCTTCTTCCAGCCGCCAAAACTCCCATGGCTTTTCCTGAGCCCTAACCCAAACATTCAGCTACACTTCCTGCCTCCACAGAATTCTCTTTAGTCCTCATGACTTGGAGCTTGCTACAGCAACACCTTCACAGGATGGGCTTCTTTCTCTTGCTCCTAAATAACTGACTGGCTAGCAGTTCAAAAGTATCAACCTTCTTTTCTGACTGCCTTTGTTCAACTGCATAACACTTGACTATTCAGAAACCCTGGAACTGTTTTGTGTAACTTACTGAAAACCCTGCAACAAGCCACACCTTTGTACTTCAGCAGTATTGAATGCAGCTAATATATTGGAACAGTGGCATGCAGCAATCTCTTGGAGCTATTTTGAAATATCACAAATTTACAGATGGCTGGCTTTTTTTTCTTTATTCATTCATGGGATGAGGGCGTCACTGGCTAGGCAGCATTTATTGCCTATCCCTAATTACCCAGAGGGCAGTTCAGAGTCAACCATATTGCTGTGGGTCTGGAGTCACATTTAGGCCAGACCAGGTAAGGATAGCAGTTTCTTTCCCTAAAGGATATTGCACAATACAAAATAGATAGAACAAAAAAGACAGGATTTCATCACAATATAGTGTGTGTCTTGGAGAGAAACTTGCAGGTGATGGTATTCCCATGCTCTACAACCCTTGCTTTCTAGGTGGTTGAAGTCACGGGTATGGAAGGTGCTATCCAAGAAGACCCAATGAATTGCTGCAACGTATCTTGCACACACTGTTGCAACTGTGTTTGTTATGGAAGGAGTGCATGTTGAAGGTGATGAATAGGCTACAAGCAGGCCGTTCTGCCCTGGATGGTACTGAGTCTCTTGAGTTGTATTCATCCAGGGAAGTGGAGAGTATTCTATCACATTGAACCAAATATTATTACTTTAACATTAATATTGAGCAGAATAGTAGAGTATACCCATAGAAATTGATCCTGTAATAAATTTCTTCATGAGGTAGATTCAAGCAACCTATCTGTCAGCGAGCTCCAATGTGGTGACATGTATATTCAACATTAACAAACTTAGAGTGCCTAGAGATCAAAAGAAAGATTCTCCCCATCACCAATTCCTCAGAGAAATGAATGTGTCTACAAAGAACTCCTTCAATAAAGAGCTAGGCAAACATCTGATTGAGATTGAGATTGGAGAATATAAGCAAGGGCATAAGCACAAGTAAACGAACTTCCAAATTCCCTTGGAAATAAGTTCCTGCGCTGGTGTGGTCAAGACCATTGTTGTAGTTAAGCGGAGAAGAGGTAGTAGTTGAACTTAGAGATTAGAAATGTAATTTGTGGTTTTACTTCATCTGCTTTCAAGTTAAGAAAGGACTTCTGCACAAGGATTAAGGCCTGAATTTTCAGAGTTGGAATAACGTGGAAACTCTTTTAAACTGCAGACAGGTCCCAATTCCAGGATTACTAACCCAATCCCAGAGTTTCATGAGCCTGCATTCGACAGTCCTCACAGCTACCACAATGCATTCTGAACCATAGCCTGCATGTAGGAATCTTTTGAAAGTTAAGCTCAAAAGAACCTGCTCATAGCCCCCCTCAGCCAAAAATACATAATATTAAAGCCTTGCTGAGAACTCAGAAAGCCATTAATCTGTTAAAATTCTTGAGACACTGGGAAAACAGTGCTTATTGACAACTCTGGCTCTCTGTTATCAATTGTATAATATTTATTTGCACAGAATGAAGAAATTTCAAGAGCTTAGAGTTTCTACTATTGCTAGTTTAATGGGTCATGATGATTGACACTTCTATTATCCTGTAGAAAAGGGACATTTGTCAAAATAATGTAAAGTTATGGAAGAATGGCTTTTTTAACCATCCTAATGTCGTCATTGGGCTCATTGCTTCTATACCTACGTAGTAGGTGAACTGGCATGGAAGTGACATTGCCTGGCATGAGGGTAAGAAAGGGCACCAGGGTGAGTCGGGGTCCAGGAGAACGCATGGAATGGGTGGAAGGGCATGAGGTGGAACAGACGCCGCAAGGCAAATGTTAAGTGGTTATTTTTGACTAGCGTGGATGCGATGAACCAAATGGCATTTTTCTGTGCTATAGATCTCTATGACTGTATGACAGCTCTGGCCCTCTGGGTATGTAGGTTGGCAGGCCGTACATTTTTCATTATAACAAGGACAGGTCCTACGGAATTCAGACAGACCTTTTAAAGAGGCTGCCTCAGCACCCAGCTTGCCTTGGAGTTCTTTCCCGGGTCGGCTGAACCAAATGCAGCCTGAACTTTCCCTAACACTGAAGATCATCCAGAACCACTTTCTCCCAAGACGGGTAAGAAAAGGTAGGCATTTCCCCAACTCCCACTACGTGCCTCGAGGATTAAAATCCAGGCCAAAATGCTTCATGTTGAGTTCATGATTAGATGAACCACATTTAATCTTTCTTAACTGCATGCTTTCATGTAAACAATAAAGAGAAAATTCCAATTGTCTTTATAGATCTTTTCTGACTTACCTGATCATGATTCTGCAGAATCAGAGAAACCTCATAGGTTTCAAAAGGTTCATAGTTTTGAAAGACAATTTCTGATGGGAATGGCTGAAATATTGGCCTGTCAGTATCCAGCATGGAGAACTGTAGAAGAAAACAAAGTAAACATTAATTTTTACTGACTAAGTGACAATGCAATATTGAAAACTTCATATATCCAACTTTATGTCAGACTTCACATATCTACAACCTTTACGATCAGATGTCAGTAAAATTACTAGCCAGGCCAGCATTTATTGCCCATCCCTAATTGCCCAGAGGGCGATTGAGAGTCAATTACATTCCTGTGGGTCTGGAGGCACATGAGGGCCAGACCAGATACGGATGACAGTTTCTTTCCCTAAAAGACATTAGTGAACCAGATGAATTTTTCCAACAATTGACAATGGTTTCATGGCCATCATTAAACTCTTCATTCCAAATTATTATTGAAATCCATGGTGGGATTCAAACTGAGGTCCCCAGATCATTACCTGGGTCTCTGGCTTAACTGCCCAGTCATTATACGCTCTCATATCGCCTTCCCATTAAATGCAAAATGCAAAGTGTTCAGAGGATAGATGGAATTTCTTCTAGCTGACAGAGACAGAAGTGAGGCCTGAAATTTACAGGTCAAGCTCACAACTTTTTTCTTCCTTCATCCGATGTGGATGTCATTTGCTGGATCAGCATTGACTGCTCATCCTTAATTATCTGGATAAGATTGTGGTGAGCTGTCTTCTTAAACTGCTACAATCATTAGTGTATAGAGACACTAAGAGTGCTGTTAAGGAAGGAGTTCCAGGATTTTGACCTAGTGACGTGATATATTTCTAAGTCAGGATGACATGTGACTTGGTGGGGAACTTGCAATTGGTAGTGTTCCCATGGATCTGTTGCCCTTGTCTTTCTAGATTGTAGCGATCGTAGAAATCTTGTTAAATTCTTGCATGTCACTTTTTTTTGTTTCTAAATAGCAAACTGTGTACTAATTATTTTAAAACCTGAGCTGAGAAGCAAAGTAATAATGTGCATTATTTTTGATTATAAAAAAGATAAAAGTTGGAAAAGTACATAACAACTAAGAAAATTTTGTGGTACTTGAAATGTTAATTTTTGATGGATCTCAATTCTGATATTGCAGCTATTGAATGGCCTGTTAGTGATCACTGTTTAATGCTGTATGGTTAGAATAATTGAAACAGGTAAACCAGCAGCAATGGAACCATTTCCATCAAAGAGTCAAGGCCAGAAGAAATTGATAAAACAGGAACCTGATAGAAATAATTATTGATCAAATCCATTCTCTGAAGACTATCTAGTTCTCAACATTTCTTTCCTTTGTAAAAATCACTTTTTAAACTTGGTAACAGAAAATAAAGGCCAACATTTTTCAAGAAAACAAACATTTGAGAGGATCTACACACACAAGTGAAGCAGAAAATAATGGCCTAGATTTTTCTGTCAAAATAATGGCGACACTAATGGCCAGGGTCAGATGAGCAGTTAGCTCAAAAAATTCACAAATTGCTGACTGAGGTGTCCCATGCTACCAGCAAATTCTGGTAAAAGGCACCTCACTGTCACCCTCACCAATCAAGTTCATGAATCTGCACAGTAAATGTGAAATACATACACCAAATTCCTATTGCTTGCTTTCCCACTTCCCAGCAAGTTTCCAACGGGCCTCTTTTTCAATCAATCTTTCTTTCCTTATCATTCTGTATTTGATTTGGCATTGAATTTAGCCCTCTAATTTACACTTCCCTCTCAGTCTTTGTGCTGTTAATTTTACAATCCTCCAACCTGATTGACTAAGGGGATAAACAGTCCTGTTCACTTGGGACCCAGATGTTACTTCACTCACCATCACCAGTTCAGACTTACTGCAACAGAAAAGTTTTAAAAATGAAACATTTCAGAGCAAGTCGAACTAAAGATGATCTGTTATGGAAAAATAGGTCACTTGTCTAGTCAACTGTCTTTATTCAGTTCTAGCCACAAAAGCCTGAGCCTTGTCCTGATCCAGGTCACACTGTTGGTTCCTGCCATTTCAGAGCAGGTGTCTCATGCAGAGGGAAAAAGTAATCTCTGTAGAGACACATATTTTGTGACCTTCCATATTTCCAATCATTTACAGTGGCCTCAGCAGAGTATCTTAACTCTGGTGAAGAAAAAAAGGGGAAGATTGTATTTCTCACGATCCAGTTGGGTGAGGCACACCCACAAATTTGAAGGCCAGGAATGGCAACAGTGACAAAAAGAGTAAACTGACTGCATGAAATATATCCCAGACTATGAAGGATGAAATAGCAATGTGCCAGACAATCATATTCCAATCTTCTGTAGCTACAGGCATAGTGACAGAGCCCTGGAGGATTGCTGACATTGTACTCTTGTTTACAAAGGGAGAAAGACATAAAGCAAGTAAATACTGGCTAGTCAGCCTTACTTTAACAATGGGCAAATTATTGGGAAAAGAAAATTGAGTGGCAGTATAAACAGTCATTTAGAAAAGCAAAGATGAATCAAACCTGGACAGCCTAGATTTATTAAAGAAAACTTGCATCTGATTAACTCGACTGAATTTTTTCAAGAAAGTTGATAAGGTGATACATTTGCTGTATTCATCATGGATATTTGCAAATCTTTTGATAAGGTCCCACATGACAGGCTGGTCAGGAAAGTAAAAATCACAGTCCAGCAGAAAGAGGCAAGTTTGATTTAAAACCGACTCAGTGGCACGAAATAAAGGGTAACAGCTAATGAGAGTTTTGGAGTCTGAAAGGGGGATTCCAAAAGTCTCAGTGCCGTGTTCCTGCTTTTCACGCTGTATATCAGTTATTTTGATTTAAATATAGGGGACATGATTAAGAAGTTTGCAGATAATATGAGAAAAGACCAATTGACTAATGGTGGAGAAAAATGCTGTCGATTGCAGGAAGACACCAATGAAGTGGTCAGATGGGCAGAAAAAAAGTAGCAAATGTAATTCAATCAGGCAAAAGGTCAGGAAATCAACCCGGGAAGGAAAGATAAGGCAAAAGAATGCACAATATAAGATGGAATACTGAGAATTTTAGAGGATCAAAGGCACATTGGAGTGCCTATCCACAATCCCTGAAAGTAGCAGGGCAGGTAGAATAAGGGCTTAAGAATGCATATGGGATGCGTTCCTTTGTTAGTTACACAACAGCAAGGAATATATACTGGAACTGTATAGAACCCCTGCTAGGCCACAGCTAGAATCCTAAGTATAATGCTGGTCATCAATTACAGGAAATAAAAAAAAAAGGGAGGCAATGCTGCAGCTGTATAGGGTCCTGGTGAGGCCACACCTGGAGTACTGTGTGCAGTTTTGGTCTCCTTACTTGAAAAGAGATATACTAGCACTGCAGGGGGTGCAGAGGTGATTCACTCGGTTGATTCCAGAGTTGAGAGGGTTGGATTATGAAGAGACACTGAGTAGACTGGGATTTTACTCATTGGAATTCAGAAGAATGAGGGGAGATCTTATAGAAACATATAAGATTATGAAGGGAATAGATAAAGTGGAGGCAGGGAGCTTGTTTCTGCGAGCAGGTGAAACTAGGACGAGAGGGCATCGCCTCAAAATAAAGGGAAGCAGATGTAGGACTGAGGTCAGGAGGAACTTCTTCACCCAAAGGGTTGTGAATCTGCGGAATTCCCTGCCCAGTGAACTGGTTGAAGCTACCTCACTGAATGTTTTTAAGGCAAGGCTAGATAAATTTTTGAACAGTAAAGGAATTAAGGGTTATGGTGAGCGGGCGGGTAAGTGGAGCTGAGTCTCAAAAAGATCAGCCATGATCTTATTAAATGGCGGGGCAGGTTTGAGGGGCCAGATGGCCTACTCCTGCTCCTAGTTCTTCTGTTCTTATGTTAAAGCTAAGAACTCACCGGACAGGGTGTGCTGGAGATAAAAGAGAATGTTACTAAGAATGGAAAATTTTAACCATGATGAAGGATTGAATAGGCTGGGATTCATGACTTTGGAACAGAAAACACTGAAGGAGATTTAACTGAGATGTATAAAATTGCAAACAGCCTGAATAGAATAGATTAAGTACCTCAATAACCAGCCAGAATAAATTTAACATTAACTTGGCAGAAGAATTATAGGGAAGTTTTCACCCAGTACGTGGCGGGGAATCCGGAACTCATTTTTCTTAAAAGTAGCAGAAGAAGAAAATCACATTGCATTTTAAAAAATATTAGCATACGCAGTTGGGGTGCTGCAGACTCAATGCAATGACAAGAGCACCACAGCAGGTTTAGGCTGAATCACTATGTTCAGCTGGCATGGATGGGCCGAATGACCTCCTTCTGCACTATAAATAGTCTGTGAAGAAATGCTCTTTCATATATTCACTTGTGGCTCCAGTGTTATTTATTCATTTTAGCAAGTTTAAAGCATTGTCGTTTGTTCACAAATACAAATTATGAGACATTTACACAGGTTTATAATTTATATATTTTTCTCACTTCTCAACTGATATCTTACTGACATGTCATGTGAGTCTTACTGTGATCAACATACAATATTGTGTCAATTCTACAAATCTAAAACAGTGTAAAAACAGACAAATTCCCAGATGTCCCAAAGTCAATCATTCTAAGAACTGAAATAGTCCAAAGAACAATTAAAATTTGCCATTTATACAAAAGAACAAAGAAAATTACAGCACAGGAACAGGTCCTTCGGCCCTCCAAGCCTGCGCCGATCCAGATCCTCTATCTAAACCTGTCGCCTATTTTCCAAGGATCTGTATCCCTCTGCTCCCTGCCCATTCATGTATCCGTCTAGATAGTTCTTAAATGACACTATCGTGCCCGCCTCTACCACCTCCGCTGGCAACGTGCACCCACCACCCTCTGCGTAAAGAACTTTCCACCCATATCTCTCTTAAACTTTTCCCCTCTCACCTTGAAATCGTGACCCATAGTAATTGAGTCCCCCACTCTGGGAAAAAGCTTCTTGCTATCCACCCTGTCTATACTTCTCATGATTTTGTAGACCTCAATCAGATCCCCACTCAACCTCCGTTTTTCTAATGTAAATAATCCTAATGTACTCAACCTCTCTT